GTGTGTGTGTGTGTGTGTGTGTGTGTGTGTGTGTGTGTGTGTGTGTGTGTGTGTGTGTGTGTGTGTGTGTGTGTGTGTGTGTGTGCTGATGTTCACTGGCAGAGATTCATCGTCGAGCGAGTCCTCCGACTGTTTCTGCTTCTGCTCAACAACGAACTGCGCGTTCGGACAAACGCAGCCGTGGAGCGAATGGATGAAACAGAACGTCGAGAGAATAACAGATAATGGAGAGTTTCATGAAGCGGACAGTTACAGAGAGACAGACTGAGACGGGCAGACATGTTTCTACAGAGAGACAGACAGATGGACAGTCAGAACAACCAGGTCTACACACACACACACACACACACACACACACACACACACACACACCAGTTGAAACCATCTGAGCCTCCGTGTAGCGGTGCAGTGATGGATGCATGTACATGAGCTCATTGTGTTGATCTAAGATGGAGGATGGAGGTTTAGCTCTGGCCGCTCTTCTCACCTGTTGGGTTACGAGACCTGGTTTTACTCGTGTCTCTGTCGATCTTTATCAGCTGCTTGATTTAAAGGCGCAACGTTCACGCACATGCATGTATGAGACGTGTCTCAGTTCAGCGGCCGAAGTGCGACGAGTCTGCTCACTTTCGAAATGTCCCACAATAATTCGAATACGAGAATTCACTGACAAACTGTTTTTTTAAAAGAGGTAAAGTCGCTGGCGAGAGTTGAGGCGGTTCACATTTTAAAAAACAACAACAACAACAACAACAAGGGGCATTAAAACTTTCTCATTGTGTCCAACTTCAGCTCTGTTGCCAGGCAACAGCAACACGAGCGGGATGGGTCGGCGACGCCTTCGTGATTTACGAGGCCGAGGGAGGAGGAGGAGGAGGAGGTGGAGGAGGAGGAGGTGGACTTTGTGTCCTCCGAGCCCCTGAACTGAGACACAGCTGAAGCATGAGACTGAAACTGACTCATTAACCATCGGATGCTGAAGCGTTTTCTCCTCACGGTGTTTAACGCAGATCAAGATCTAAATGTGGAGAATCAACATTCCTGTGGTTTTAACAGAACATGTGTAAATTATTATTCTGATTCGCCTTTTATGTGTGTTCATTCAGCTGTTAATGCCAAGTGTGTTGTTGTTTTTATTTATATATGTAAGTTTGTCTGTTCTCTCTTCAACATCAACATGAAATTAAATCTAAGGAACTGACTCGGGTTCATTTTGCTGAAATCAGTGAATGAACACTGTTAAATGATTCGAAGTGAAAAGCTGCTGCTCTGAGGAGTGAACTGATTCTCATGTTCTCTGTGTTTCTCTGAGGTTCAGTTAAACGTTGTGGTGGAGGTGAAGTGGAAATGGTTCACGACCATGAGGCTGAGATTACGTCTTCAGTCCTGCAGCAGCGGTTTGATCCCGGACACAGACACCTCCGCTGCACAGAGCAACGTGAAACTCTCTGGTGCGACTCCTCTTCTGTGTTTTATACAAGTATGTGTCGTGTGTTCCCCGTGATCACATCTCCACACACACACTCACTCACACTCACACACACTCACACACACACACACACACATATCAGAGCGTAGACACACCTGTACGCTTGCTGATGACTTCCACCATGGTGGACGGGAAGTAGCCCACCCGATCATTTCCTGTTCGGTTGTCATGGATACAGCCCTTCCAGCGTCCATCGGGGTGCTGCTCCAAGACCTGTCAGGAGGCGGAGTTTAACATTGACATTTAAATAAACTATTGGATGTACATTATGAACATTCTGTTTATCTTCTGTGTGTGATATGTTGTGTTTTATAACATTTAGATTTAATATCTCTCCATCCACAGAACACAGTCTGATTGTTTTGTGTTTTTGCGTGAGCGAAGTAAAAACTGTATTGTGAAACTGAGGGCGAGAGAAGAACAGTGCAGTAAGCAGCTGCGGCCTCTGTGCACATCTGTACCACTGATGTTTTCATCCAGTGGCTGCAGAGACGCTCATGAACGTTCATGACCGGAGGCTGGACTGTAAAACAGATTTACAGTAAACGCTCCACAGCGACAGCAGCATGAGCAGCAGGTCTGAGTTACTGTGAGTGAAGCGAGGACCAGAAGATGAACTGAAGCTCTCTGACTCTGACTCAGGACTTTATTTTCAACAGCGGAACGCAGCCTGTAGCTCCTCCTACAGACCGGAGAGAGGACTTACAGGACGTCATGTGTACTTGTGACCTGCTTATCAATGTTTAAAATATTTATGAGGAAAGTCAATGTAGACTTTAGACAGTCAGAAGAAAAGAAAATATTCATTCTATGCAAAGATACAACCAGTTAAATACGTGTTAGATTAAAAATTAAAGTTTTCTGATCAACTCGTTGTTTGTGATTTGAGATTGAACCTTGTTTTTTTTTCATCTCTTCCGGCTCGTTAAAGATTCAAGACGATTCAAAAAGCTAATAAACAAATTAATTATTCAAATTGTTAAAGAAAAAAAAAGAAAAAATTGTGTGTCTGCTCACGGTGACATTTTGTATTTTGTTTTTAATGTTGAGAGTGTGTGTGTGTGTGTGTGTGTGTGTGTGTGTGTGT